CTCTTCCTGCCCTTCCTCTTCCTCTATCAGGCTGTTCCTATGCGATGTTCCTAAGGTAGCTAGCCCCTCCTCCGATCATTTCCAGGGAGGAAAGGAGGCTGCAGAGCGTAGCCACAGCTGCTTTATAAATAAAGCACAATGAAATCTAATCTCCCATCCAGACATGTGGGAGCCAAGGGCTGGAACATGGTGCCCCAGGACCCTGCGCCAGGCTGGGTCAGGTCAGGACTTGCCCTGGGGTTGCAGTTGAGGGAGCAGAGCGTGACAGGAGAGGCATGGTTTGGTGGGGAAAGCCTAAATGAGAGTCAAGTTGACCATGATTGTTAGTTCCCAAGCCGTGGTGAATACAAAGAGAAACCATGATTCTTTAGCCAGGCCGGCAACAATGGAAAGACAAGATGGTGGGAAATCGAGTGAGAGACAACTCAAGCCAAGGGAAAGAAATGACCCAACTGCTTTTTTTTCATCAATGTCTTTGAGGAAGGAGATGTTCAGGGAAGAAGATGTTTGGGGCGGCAACCTAACATAGGCAAGACTGTTATCACTTGTTTTTAAAACCTAAAATACTTTTGTATGTCTCAACGTCTTTTATGTAAATTAGGCAGCGTAACCGTACTTTGAGCATGTGAACACGCACACCATTGTACATGGATGCAAACCCAGACGGTGGCCACTTTTAGAAATAGACTGAATTTCTTCAAAAAGCATCAGTATTGTCTTCTTGTAATGGAGTTTTAGGAATGATGGTTCCAAAACATCTACATATTTTGGTTCCAAACCAAAAACCTATTTTCTGTTTTCTTGCTTCTCTAGACCATTGCGAGCCTCAGGAATGAACTCTGGAGGACTCGGGAATCCATCAGTGCTCTCCACAGGGAAAGAAGGTAGGAGCCGCGTGGATACGCACAGATGCTGATGGCAGCAGCCAAGCAGAGCATTTCCTTTGCTTTTACAGAAAAACCTTCTATAAAAATTTCACCACACTCTTTTTTTTTTTCTAATTTGGAAGGCATTTTGAGCAGAGAAATCCTCTGATTTCAATATGAAAGTAAAAGGGGGCTTTGACTGTGAGTAATTGAGCATAACAAAAATCACGCAGATGATTATATTAACTTTTGACTTTTGGTTACTCAATTTTATTCCTTGGAAGCTGGATAAGCACTTCTAGGGACGTGTCGGTTCTTCTGTGTGTCTTGTATGTATTTGTGTAGTGTGTGTGTGTGTGTGTGTGCGTGTGTGTGTGCGCGCGCGTGCGCACTTTAGCTACTTCTAAAGAAATACCAACAGCATCTAACTTTCCACCAGGTTCATTAGGCTGTTTGGAAACCACCTATGATGTTCTTACTGTGTCTTAAGGAAAAGGTCATTCCTTCCCCTCCTGTGTCCTGCTGTCATTCCATTAGAAGGCAGAATTCCGGGCTCTTCAAAAAGAAATGTCCCCTGAGGGAAGACCTTTGTTTTCAGGCTCCAAGCTTGGTACCCAGAAGATGCCCAATACATTAATGATACCATGTAATTATATGTGAGCTAAGCTTCATAATCTGAAAATGTATAAGAGATAAGGAACATTTTTAAAATTTTGTGACAACTCATGAAGGGGAGTTAATAAACACTGTTAAAAAATCAAAATAATTTAAATGCTAAAAGTAATTTTTCTCTTTTTCATGGAATAAGAAAAAGAAACTAGAAACAAAAGCAAAGAAAGCATAACAATAAGAAGACAATTTTGAAACTTAAAATGTGGAAATAAAAAGGAAATTTTGAAATTTAGTTCTTTAAAAACAAATTTTTAGCTGGGTACTGTGGCTCATACCTATAATCTTAGCATTCTGGGAGCCCCAGTCAGGTGGATAGCTTGAGTCCACGCGTTCAAGACTAAGCAAGAGCAAGATCCTATCTCTACTGAAAATAGCTGGGTGTTGTGGGAGGCACATATATTCCCAGCTACTCAGTTGGCTGAGGGAAGAGAATTTCTTGAGCCCAAGAGTTTGAGGTTGCTGTCAGCTACAATGATACCATGGCACTCTACCCAGAGAAACAGAATGAGACTGTCTCAAAAACAAAACTAAACTAAATTGAAAAAATAAACTCAACTGAAAAACTAAATTATTTAAAGCTAATTATTTTAAACTAAGTTATTCTCTTTTATAAAATCCATGTATACTACATATATCATTGTTATCCTAAGAAAGTATTTATCACCACAAAGTGTACCAAAGTGTGAGGCTGGTTGTTAAATGGAATACAACCTGGAGCTCCACGTCTGTTCTGTATGCACCATCATTTTTATCAACAATTCAGATAAAATTGTAGAGGGCGTGATTCTCAAAGGTGTGTGTGACATGATACCAAATGGCCTAGATAATAAGCTGAATGACATCTTGAATCACTAAGATTTAACACATTGCTGACTTGTCCCGAGTTACCCAGTGACCCATAGATGGTTTCTGCATAAAATTATTGGTCAACAATGTGTTAACATGTTAGAGACACTGAGTGAGTGCGGCCCTATAATACAGCTCCTGTGGGCTGAGACCCACAGGTTGAGAACCGCTGCACTAAGTGATTCTATATCATAAGCAGGTGAGAGGTGAGGAGGGACGAAAGAATAAAATAGGCTGAACCGGGGACAACTGGAAATGCAGACGGGGAGAAATGAATCCAGAACAGCTGCTCTCTTAACACGTTATTGACTGGTGATTTTATGCAGGGACTATCTGTGTTACTGGTTAACTTGGGATTGGTCAACACTGTGGTCACTGAGCTGGAACAGGAGGGGGCAATTAAAAAAGATCGAATATTAAAGGATTAAAGAAAAGGGCTACAATGGTAGGCCCAGTTTCACAGAAAGTAGTGTGAAAAAGCCCTGGGATGTGTACGATAGTTAACTGCAAGTTTAGTGACAACCAAAATTATATCACTGATTATTTAAAAAGCACCACGGTCTGCGAGGATATTAACAGGAGGAGGACCGTTCACTCTCCACTGTGCTGGGTACTTATCAAGGAAAGTAAATATTTCACTGCTCTGTGTGTGTTTATCTCACCCAGGGAGTATTTGTGTTTCATTTGAGGGCCTCATAAGTACATGGGAAATTCGAATTGCTTAGCTACAGAAAGCAGAAATACATAGAAAGATACAAAAATACAGAAAGGCTTATCTGACTTATCTCTCAGATAACCTGAACTATTTGCTAATAGCAGCTATTTTCCTGAAAAGTGCTGAGCTCCCAGCTGATGAGAATAATGACACCAGGTGAATCATATCTGCCAGAAACACTCCATTAGAATCTTTACTTTTAGGGAAAAAACAGTAAGAAAAAGACTGTATTTCTGAAAGGACTCTGCCTGCCTTCCCCCTGGGTTGTGAAAGGATAGATGTACTATGCAACCACAGGAGCTGGGGCAGAGAGGAGGACGCGGACGCCAGTGGTGAGCAACCCAGGAGAAAGAGATCAGTGCTACCCCCATTGGTCATACCGAGCAAAATGCTTTAGGTACAAAGAACACTGTCTAGAGAGGCCTTTTGAGGATTTCTTTGTTGTTGGCCATATATAAAATGCCAGACTGACTTCTTTTCAGAAAAAAAACCATCATAAAGATGTACTTGAAACTCCAAAGATTAGAGTCACAGGCCTGCTTCACCTGAGTGGGACTGTCTGCGAGCGTGAGGGCTGTCTTTCAGAGATGCCTGCGGCAGAGGAGAACCCAAATAAAATCCCAACACCTCCTCATGCTCTACAACACTTCGGAATTCCAAAGGTTCTAACACGGAGACAAGATGCATTTCACACCAGAGAGCCAATTTCCACAGATTCCACAAGTACACCCACAGTGATGATCAAATAAGCCCATAATTTACTTGGCCCACTTTAATCATATGCTAAGTACCTGCTATGTGACAGGGACTATTTTAGGGCTGGGCCTGGGCCTGGGGACCTGGCAATAAACAAAATGAGGGGAGGAGGAAATACAGAGATAATAAGATGATATGTAAGTCCAATAATAAGGGACACAGGCAGTGCGTCATGCAGCATGGCCAAAAGTGTGAAGTTGGACTCTTCAATCTCTGTAGCAATTACGCATGGTGACGAGTCAGAGACAAGGAAAAAAGGAAGCCGATGGCTGTGCTGGAGATGAGGCTGGAGCTGTGCTTTGTAGTCTCTAGCAGGCAGTTAGACCTTCATCTGAGCCCTTGCCTTGAGCACAGACTTGCAGGAGGTGGGGAAGGGACTGGGCGCTGACCTGAAGAGGCAGGAGGGCTTTGGCAGTGGGAGCCAGGGAGCAGAGACTGTGAAGGGAGAACAAGCCTGGGGTGTCCAAAGAGGAGCAAGGAGCTCCAAATGGCAGAGCAGCTATGTGTGGGACACGGGGGATGAGAAGGAGGGGTGTCTGGAACATCTCGGCTGAGCTTCTCCACCTCCAGAAGCACTTCAGTTTCCTCTAAATGACGAGGGGAACCCCTGCAGTCTTCTGAGCAGGAGCGTGACCTGACCTGACTTATGGTTTAAAAGAATGACCCTATCTGCTTGGTTCATTCTTAAACCATTGAACAACTAGCTGGAGAGAGAAGCCAAAATAGACCCCAATTTATTAATCACATCAGGTCCCTTCCCTGTGTCCCTGGTCAAGTGTTGGGCATTTAGCCACAAAGGTACACTGTCTTTTTGAAGGGAGTGTTTCCAGACAAAGGATATTGAGTAAAGTCAGTATTCAAAGGTAAGTAGCCAGTTAGGGTATGGCTGTCAAAGTAAGCCACAAGGCGCCTGGTGAGTTTTCTGACACACCTCCAAAGGTGATGAAATGCTTAGTGGAACTGTGTCCATGATCCACACAAAGGCCACTGTACGTGGTGAACAAGCAGAATAAAACAGTAGTGATCAATGTTCAAAAATAGTCAAAGCACAGCCTTCCCTGGTGTCTTCTTCCACTGGGAGGACTGAAGCAAATCTCTCAAGGGCTCTTGCCCTTCCAAGCCATTCAGATCTCTTCTCTTTTCAGGCTCCTTAAGAAACAGTTAAACGGATACAAAGACAAGTTGCGAGTGATGTTCGCCTCCCAGGAAGAGAGAAGTTGCCGGTTTGAAACAAAGATTCAGGAACTCACTATCAACCAAGATAGTCTACGAACCAAGCTACAGAAGATGGGACAGGACCTGCAGGTATACCATGTGGGAGACACTGGCCACTTGGACCACGTGGGGGTCTAACCATGAATCCCCCAGCCACGGAGAGTTGTAGCCTGAAGCTTGACACAACACTTTGATCAGCTGCTTCTCCTCTTCCCCTACCCTGACCTCCTCCCCCTGTATCCTCCAGACTATGCCAAGTCCTTTCCCTTCATGCAGGTGGTGTCACTGAAAGACAGTGGGGTCTATGCCATTCAGAAACAACACACCTAAGGCAAAGCGATTCTTCACGACATTGGTTCTTAAATCTTTTGGTCTTGGGAGTCCTTATCTATTCTTAAAATTTTTTTAGGAAACCCCCCAAGAAACTTTTGTTTCTATGAGTTGTTTATTGCTACTTAACATACAAAAGTTAAAACTGAAAAGCTATTTAAAATGTATTCTTGACTAAAACATAAAATAATAAACCCATTTTATATATAATGCTTTTCAACAATCACTATACGTATTTTTTAAAAACACAAGGCATGGTGGCTCATGCCTCTAATCCTAGCACTCTGGGAGGCTGAAATGAATGGATTGCTTAAGCTCAGGAGTTCGAGAACAGCCTGAGCAAGAGTGAGACCCCATCTCTAAAAATAGCCGGGTATTGTAGAGGTGCCTATAGTCCCAGCTACTTGGGAGGCTGAGGCAAAAAGGATCGCTTAACCAAGAGTTTGGGGTTGCTGTGAGCTGTGATGCCATAGGGCTCTACCGAGGGCGACAAAATGAAACTCTATCTCAAAAAAACAAAAAGAAACCAACAAACAAAATGCATAGTAGACTGGCATTGTTTTACATTTTTTACAAATCTCTTTAGCGTCCGGTTTAATGAAAGAGAGCTGAATTTTCATCACTGCTTCAGCAATCAGTCTACTACCACTGCTACAAGACATCATGGTTGAAACATGAAGAAATCAGGCCTCACACAGATTTGCACTTGAGAAAGAGAGGTGTGTTTTAAAAGCCTTTCAGATAATAGGGATACTTCTCTGTGATACTATACCCAAACATGCTATGTGAGAATTTCCTAAAGGGTAGCTGCAATATGGAATCTGACACCGTATCTATTTTCCCACTGTCTCATTAAAATCCAGCGTTTTAGTAGCTCTCCGAATGGATCTGCTACCCACTCATGTTTTTTTTAACATACGTGGATCCTTTGTAATTCCATGGAAAGGGTAGTTCATTGAGTGATGCTATCTTAATCCTCACCCATTTCATCATGCAAGATCAAAAAAAATTCATACTCATTAATGTCACCACTAATCTCATCAGAAAGTCGGTTAACAATTGGAAGGCCATCAAGCTCATGGTGGTAGATGCAAGTTTTCCAACATTCTAATTTTTGCTTTAAAACTTAACTGCTATAATTGACAACAAATACTGTGAATGGCTTTCTTTGCAGTGACATTCTTACTTTGTTCATTTTTGAGAAAATGTTTGCCAAATGCTAACAGCTGAATAACTGTAGCCTGTCAGTCAGT